TCCTAGAAAATGCATCTAATGTTTTCCTTCTTAATCTATGGTTGCTCTCAAGTCTTCTTGTCCTCCTTCTTTCCAAGTAATGAGACCATTTTTGGACAGAGAATTTTTGGTTGTTGCTACAGAATGTATAGATAATGACAACGATGATAATGATGATGTTTAACCAAATTTATTTTGTACAAATGTCCAGAGATATGTTAAGGATGAGATAAACAGATGTATGGTATATCCGTGAATAATCCTATTATTCTAAGGAAAAATGTTTGGGGGATATGACAAAGAAAGAAAACAACAACACAGGGAAGCTTTGCATAGGAAAATTCTACTATTTAAACTTTCATTCATCATACAGCCCATCTTTCTCCTCTTCTATCTCATCTGCGGCTCCTTCTTTCTCAGAATCAGCCCAAATGTGGGTCTTTGCCTAAAATCCAAAGATGCATGTGTCATTTGAAAGATGACATGTGACTAAAGAGGTCAAAGGACTTTTTTTTTTTAAGGTAGTACAGAAAGAAACTGTGTGAGTTGCTTCTGTTTTGAGTCTAATTAATGGCAGTTGCCTCCATTTGCCATATTGGCAAGGGGTCCAACAGCTCCCCTATGGGGCTCTTTCCTTCCTGAAATCTCAGTCAGAAGACTCGAATACAAACAGGCATGACCTTAGCAATATTCCTATTCCCTGCATCGAAGCTTTCTCATCTTCAAGGAGCAAATTAGTCTAAAAGATCTCTAAAACGACTTCTGACTCTAAAATTCCACCTATCTAAAAATGTAAATTTTTATATATGGATAAAATAAAAATCAAAAATATTTAGCCAGTGTGAAATTCTTAGTGCTGAAAGTTTTGAAAGGCCAAGTTGATATTTGTTGAATGGATGAATGTTGTTTTAGTACCCAGGAAAGCATACCCAGCAAACAAAACCTAAGCTTGGTATTTCAAAGTCTCCTTCTCTATTGACTGGTCCTGAATAAATAACATGAGAAAATTGAGTAGTTTACAAACCGATTGCCTTCATTCTTCAAATATTCCTGATTCTGAGCCCCCAAATTTGGACAAATTTGTTGCTCCAACATTGCCTCACCATGTACTATGCAATTTTACTGATGCATAGAGTATGCCTGACTGGGCTAAAAGAAATTATTGTAAAATAGAAACACTTATTTTCATGGGGAAACTCTTCTGGTTATCAGACCTTTGCTATTTCTCTTCAGAGGGCAAGAATTCATGCATTCGGTCAGCTTTCCAAGTTAAATATATTTCTCTAGTGCACCAAGGGAGAGAAATGGAACCGACATTCCCTCCTGGCCTCTGTTTTCAAGAATACAGCTCTGAGTCTAAGGTTGCTGACAGTTGTCATTTACTAATCCAGGCCCTGGACATAAATCAACTGGGTTGTCAATGTAAATCTGAGTTATTTCCTAACCAGTGACAAGGATTCCTGAACATGGCCAGTTCTCGGAATCACAAGGCAGAGAAAGCCAGATTACATTATCCAGGTATGGCTCTCCATAGGAACGTGGAAGCTGCAGAGAAACACAGTGTCACATAAAGACTTTTAGGAGTCTACCTTGTTGGGAGACCCAAAAATATGTTTTCAAGGAGCTTCTCTTGCCCAAACCCCTGGGCTGGTCAAACTAACCTCTTGCTTTAGGGTTTTCTGCCACAAGGAGATACTCGATGGGAAAGTGAGCAGAGGGATTCGTTTGAACACTTGTCCCCATCACCCTTAAAGTTTCTATGGTCTGTACATTTGGCTAAGTAGCTGACCACATTCTCTGCTTGAAGACTCACAATAGACATGAGCTTATAAATGACCCTAAGAGGTTTAAAAATAAAAAGAGAAAGGAATAGTGTTGGAGGGTGAAAGAGAGCAAGAGAAAGAAACCTTGTTATACTTATTTCATACAATATGTTTTTCTTGTTTACTGTTTTATTTATTTTTAATTGTTTTGAAATTGTGTCCCATCAAGCTGATCTTGAACTCCTGGGCTCAGATGATCCTCCAGAGTACCTGGGATCACAGATGTGTCCCAGTGCACCCTTACCTTTATCTCTGGTTGACACATGATAATTTTACTTATTTATGGGATACAATATGATATTTCAAAATATGCATACATTGTGTAATTGACCAAATGAGGTTAATTAACACATCTTCTGTCTTAAACATTTGTCATTTCTTTGTGATGAGAACACTCAAAATCCTCTTTTCTAGCTATTTTCAAAATATAAAATGCATGATTTCCAATCATAATAACCTTCCTATGCAATAAGTTCCTACTTAGAACTTATTCCTATCTAACTTTGTGCCCTGGGGCCCATCCCTTCCCATCATCTCCTCCACTTATTCTCTCCAGTTTTTGGTAACCATTATTCTATTGTCAGCATCAACAAGATCTACTGTTTTAGATTCCACATAGGAATAAGATCACACAGTATTTGTCTTTCTGCACTTAGTTTATTTCATTTAATGTCTATCAGGGTCATCCATGTTGTTGCAAGTGACGGGATTTCATCATTTTTATGACTGAATAATATTCCATTGTGTATGTATGTACCACAGCTTCTTAATTCATCCATTGATAGGCATTTATATTGGCACCACATCTTGGCTATTGTGAACAGTACTGCAATGAACATGAGAGTGCAAATGTCTCTTTAATATACAGGCTTCATTTCCTTTGGATATATAACCACTAATGGGATTGCTAGATCATCTGGTAGGTCTATTTTTATTTTTTTGAGGAAACTTCATACCGTTTTCCATAATGGCTGTACTAATTTACATTCTCACCAACAGTCACACAGCATTTTTTAAAACTTATTTAGCCACCAAACCTCTTTTTAGCATAAAGCTTATCAAATCCTGCTGAATTAGAGTTCCACAAATGTTCCCACTTGGGAAATATTGGCCCAGATGATTTCTCAAGTCATTCTAATTCTAAAAATTCTAAGTTGTATTTATAAATCTTCTAAAGCACAATTCTGAGCATACTCTTCCTTACTTAAAAATCATCTGTGACTCCCATCTGCCTGTGCAGTTCAAATTCCTGGGGGACATTAGAGTGGCAGTGGGGAAGTTGGCAGGTGGGGAGGGGGGGAGTCCAAATTCCTTAGTGTGCCTTTCAGAAATTGGCCTTAACAGGCATTTACCAATCTTAGTTCCCTTCCTTCCCATTTGTAAGGGATCTCTGCTCCTTCCTAACTGGGTTTTCCCTGCTCTCTCTTCAGATGTCTGTTCTTTCCTCATCTGTTTTCCTCTGCTCATACTTTTGTCTCCAGTGGGAACAATTTAGCCTGCCTTTGTACAACAAACACCACCCACTCTGAGGAGGAGAGGAAAAGGGGAAATAGTTGGGAATAGTAGGTCAAATTATAGTGTTATATTGCGTACTTGTGTGGGCATATAACAGTAAATCCCACCATTGTTTACAGCCATAATGCACCAACAATTTTTAAAAATGAGAAAAACCTCAAATGTAACCTATTTTATTTATTTATTGTTATGATTTGGATGTGAGGTGTCTCCCAAAAGCTTCTGCATTGATTCAGGAATGTAAAATGACTGGATTGTGAGAGCTGTAATCTAATCAGTTCCTCCTAGTTTGAATGGACAGACTGGGTGGTAACCCTAGGTAGGTAGGGCATAATTGGAGGAGATGGATCACCCAGGTGGGCTTGTGCCCTAGAAGAATATGTCTTCCCTGTGGCCCCTTCTTCCTCCCTATCTTTTTCTTTATTTCCCTCTCCCTCATCCATCTTTCTCTCCCTCCCTCCTTCCTTCCCTCCTTCCTCACCCCATCTGAGCAGCTTTCCTTCACTGGGCCCTTCCCCCGTGATGTGCTGCTCCACTTTGGGCCCAGAGTCAGCTGTCTATGGACTGAGATCTCTGAAACCAAGAGCCACAAATAAGCTTTTCTCCTCTAAGTTGTTTTCATTGGGTATTTTGGTCACAGCAACATAAAAACTAAAATATTTACTGTAGTGAGGATTGAACCCAGGGCCTCACGCATGCCGAGCAAGCACTGAGTTACATACTTGAACTCTTTATTTTTGTTTTGACATAGTGTTCCACTAAATTCTCCAAGCTGGCCTTGAACTTTCCATCACCCTGCCTCAGCCTCCATAGTAGCTGGAATTACAGGTGTGCACCACCATGACTGCCTTGTGATCTACTTTAAATGCTCAGTCCAAAGCAATCCCCTCCAGGTTGATGGTCGGCTCCTTATATAGAATTAACTGTGTATATTACTAACCTCCCCTAGATATTTGAAAGAATGGTTTTATACACTGTTGCCTGTTCCCTATTTCCTTACACATAACAATGCTTATTAAAGAATAATCTGAGCTGGGGTTGTGGCTCAGAGGTAGAGTGCTCGCCTAGCATGTGTGAGGCACTGGGTTCGATCCTCAGCACCACATAAAAATAAAACAAAGATATGTGTCCACCTTAACTAAAAAATAAATACTTTTAAAAAAAGAATAATCTGAAGACAAAAGGCTGCTGCAATTAAACAGAAAATCCTTCCAGGGCAGAAAAAACAGTGATCTAACAACTTGTGCTGGCTCTGCCACCAGCACGTGGGGACTCTGGCCATTTGCTTCTTCTCAGAGCTCAATGTCTTTAGCTCCATAAAAATAAGGGAAGGCTTACAGAAGCCACTGGCCTCTCAGAGCTAAATATTCTAATATTATAAATATTAGATTTATAATCCACTTTCCAATGAAATTTGTTTTAATAAGGCCTCCAGATGATTCTGATGCACTCTAAAATGTCTGTACATAATTATAGTTGGAACTAAATATATTATCACCTGTGTCTATAAATTCATTTTTCAAAGCACAAACTATGGTTCTTTTTGCCCAGTCTGTTACCAATACTATATGACCCACTCCGAAATAAGATGATAGTAAATATATTTGATTTTTTGCCTTTAACTGCTGCCAGCTCCACACTTAGGCATCATACATTCATCAAATTCTGTTCCATCTCTTACAGCTGATCAAACAGATCCTTGCAAATTCCTGGCCTGTGATGAATTTTCCCAGTGCATAAAGAATGAATGGACGGAGGAAGTGGAGTGCCGGTGCAGACCAGGATACGAGAGCCAGGGGGAACTGGACGCAGACCTCTGTGCCCCTGGAGAGGAATGCAAGGCCCTTCAGAGAAAGGGAGCCCCATGCAGGTAAGTCAAGCACACAAACGTGACAGACCTACAACCTAAGTACACAAATGTCATTATTTATGCTTCTGAAAACCCTAACAGAATAAATTCATATGATGCTTTAGACCCGTGGTTCTCAAATTTCAGTAAGCATCAGAATCACCCAGAGGAAGCCTTATGGAAATACACATTGCTGGCCCTGCTCTGTTGTAAAAACAGCACTAGGTCTGGGTAGGCCGGGAGATTGATGCTGCTGTCCAGGGATGACTTTGAGAGCCCTGCTCTAGGCTTAGCTTTCAGATAAAATTCTTGGTTTACTGCCTTAATTAGTGCATGTTTCTGTAAAACTTGGGTGTTTTCCTTGTTTGAAAGCATAATAGCTTTTATCATAAGAAAGCTGGGAAATATAAAAATCTATGAGAAAGATGATAAATATCCTGTGTAATTTATCACATTAACTGCTGATTATCTTTTGGTGTCCATATTGATATAAAATGGGTTTATACAGAATTTTTTAAAGCAAAATAGAATCAGACTGGCTTCCTGTTTTGTAGTCAGTTTTTTTTTTAACCTAAAACATTTCCTCCTGCTATTACTTTCTTTAGCACATTTTTAATTATTATAGTAGTCCAATCTCTAGAAGTGTTTAAGATAGGTTTACTCCTTCATTCACAGACAGAAAGTACTAGAGAAGCCCCTTGGAAGGTAGGAAAGGAGGTGACATATAATGGGCTTAGCTTTCTATGTACAAACCAGACCTCAGGGTGTAGGTGGACTTGGGAACAAGCAGGGAGCATTAAGGTGGGTCCAATTCTTCTCAAGTCCCGTGACACCCAGACAAGGCTGCAGACTATGTTTCAGAGGGCTTCTGCAGGAGTCTGTCTCTGGACCACTTCTGAGAGTGCTGCCAGCCCTTCCCATCAACACCTGAGCATCTACTCAGTGATGATCACCTGGACCCTCATCACTATCAGGTCACCTGAGGTTTTTTCTTTGTTGCTTTTACTTGCTCACTCTAGAGGCCACAGTCCTAATTTCCCACCACGAGAACTCGTGGCCATCTACTTCCAAAACTCAAGAAACCACAACAATTTAGCCTTTTCCTTGATAAAAACATATTCTGTTCCTTTAGAGTATTAACATTTTAAAGACAAATACCCAATAGAGGTTGGTTAAGAAGCAATGTTCTGAAGTCAGATTGTGGTTAAAGTTTCAGTTTAGCAAATTTAATAATCAAGTGACCTTGGACAAATTACTTCTCTAAAGCACAACTTCCTCATTGGGTAAGGAGACAACTCCACCTACTGGGTTGCTGCAAGAGGTTTATGAAATGATCTTTGTAAAATACTTTTACCAAGAACATAAAGCACAGAGCATTCACTCAGAGAAGTACATGATGATTCTGTGACTTTTCTCCAAGTTAATCACAGTCAAAACCCCAGTGAGATTCCTCATGGAATTTGACATTCTGGTTCTAAATTTCCTCTAAAAATGAAAATGTACAAGAGAAAATCTTGAGTAGAGTGATGGGTAGTTTCTGTGCAAGATAGCAAAACACATAAAATCATATTTAGACATGATAGACATAGAAATAGATAAAAGAACAAATATAACAGCCATAGACACACTTATACAATAGGGGATTTATAAAAAAACGTGTCCACTGGTCAATAAGGGTTCAAGTATGATTTGTCCTTCCATTTATAAAATTGTGCCTTATCACAGAAGATCAATTCCACAACAAAGATCCAAGTTCAAGATCAAAACTAGGAAAATATTTTTTAAATATAATAATCTATAATCCTGGATTAAAAAAGACTATCCTAACATGACACCAATCCCAGAAAACTTAAGAAAAGGAATTCTATAGGGAAAAAGTGTTATAAATGAAAGTATCAAACAATGAGATCGAAAAAAAATATATACAACCAACATTTTAGACAAAGTTAAACATCCATAATAAGAAGTGATAGTACATATCAATAAAAGACAAACATCCAAATGTTAGAATGAGCAAAGAAGATAGAGGAACAATTCATAGAATAACTTCAAATGATCAATGAAATATAGAAAATGCTCAATCTCACTATAATCATGGAAATCCAAAAATAATAAAGAGATATCATTTGTTAGAAAGTGGATAATACACAATGTGGATAACATGGGGTGGGATTACTGGCTCTATCAAGCCTTGCTAGTGGATGTGTAAATTGGAAAAGCTTTTTTTTAAAAAAAAAGAGTTTTCCAGTAGCCTCCATGAAACTTTGAATCTGACTCAGTTACTCTACTTTTAGATAATTATTCCTAAAAGTATACTTGCACCTGTGCACGGAGATATGTATACAGAAATGTTCACAATAATATTCCTTTGATTTTTTTTTAATTTTATAATTGATTTTTTAAAATAAATGACAGTGGAATGCATTACGATTCTTAATGCAAATATACACCACAATTTTTTATACCTCTGCTTGTATATAAAGTGTGTTCACACCAATTTGTGTCTTCCTACATGTACTTTGGATAATGATGTCCATCACATTCCACCATCATTGCTAACCCATGCCCCCTCCTTTCCCCTTCCACGCCTCTCCCCTGTCTAGAGATCGTCTATTCCTCCCATGCTCCTCCTCCCTACCCCACTATGAATCAGCCTCCTTATATCAGAGAAAACATTCAGCATTTGGTTTTTGGGGATTGGCTAACTGCACTTAGCATTATCTTCTCCAACGCCATCTATTTACCTGCAAATGCCATGATTTTATTCTCTTTTATTGCTGAGTAATATTCCATTGTGTATATATACCATATCTTTCTTTATCCATTCATCTACTGAAGGGCATCTAGGTTGGTTCCACAGTTTAGCTATTTATTGTGAATTGTGCTGCTATAAACATTGATGTGGCTGTGTCTCTGTAGTATGCTGTTTTTGAGTCCTTTGAGTATAGACCGAGGAGAGGGATAGCTGGGTCAAATGGTGGTTTCATTCCCAGTTTTGCAAGGAATCTCCATACTGCTTTCCATATTGGCTGCATCAATTTGCAGTCCCACGAGCAATGTGTGAGTGTGCCTTTTCCCTACATCCTTGCCAACACTTGTTGTTTGTCTGCCATTCTGACTGCAGTGAAATGATATCTTAGAGTAGGTTTGATTTGCATTTCTCTAATTACTAGAGATGATGAACATTTTTTCATATATTTGTTGATCGATTGTATATCCTCTTCTGAGAAGTGTCTGTTCAGGTCCTTGGCCCATTTATTGATTGGGTTATTTGTTTTTTTTAGTGCTAAGCTTTTTGAGTTCTTTATATACCCTACAGATTAGTGCTCTATTTGATGTGTGAGGGATAAAAATTTGCTCCCAAGATGTAGGCTCTGTTCACCTCATTGATTGTTTCTTTTTCTAAGAAGAAACTTCTTAGTTTGAATCCATCCCATTTATTGATTCTTGTTTTTTTTTTCCTTTGAATTTTGAAATAATTATATGGTCCTCAATAAGGGAGAAGTGGTCTGAGGTGTCACTTAGTGGTAAAGCACTTGCCTAGCCTATATAAGGCCCTGGGTTTGATCCCCAGCACCACAAAAAAGGGGATGGGGATGGTTAACCTAGAGTGTAATTACTCACTATTAAAAACTGCAGCTAAGGGTAATGATATATACATACTCAAAAAATGCAAGATACTTCATTACATTAAGAAGCAAATTTCAGAATAGAATATATCACAATTTATTTATTCATTCACTTATGGAGAGGCCTCTTGGTTGCTCATAAGTTATGGCAATTACAAATAAAGTTGCCTTAAGTATCCACATGCAAGTTTTTATGTGGACATAAGTTTTGAAATCATTTGGGTAAACACAAGAAAAGAAACTGTGGGATTATTTTTATTTTTAAAAAATTATTTATGCTGGTTTTAATTATATAGGACAGTAGAATTTATTTTGACATATCATACTTACATGGAGTATAACTTCCAATTCTTGTAGTTGTACATGATATGGAGTTACACTGGTTATATATTCATATATGAACATAGGAAAATTATCTTATTCTCATTCTATTGTCTTTCATATTCCCATCCCCCTTACCTTCATTCCCCTTTGTCTAATCCTGTATAGGTAGTAAATTAATACAAAACTATACACTTTTAAGCATATTAGGTTCAATCATATGGCATTGCCATTTTGTCAGTTACAAATCTTCAAATACCAGCAATTTTATATGATTCAATCTATGTGTTAGTAAACACACAGAAAAAAGTGTGGAGTGATAGATTCTTTCTAGTTAACAATGGAAAGAAATGGAATTGGAGTCCAGCTTTCTTAATAATGAGGATATGTTAATTTATTGCTTGTATAATTATAGCAGCACAATTCACAATAGCTAAACTGTGGAACCAATCTAGATGCCCTTCAGTAGATGAATGGATAAAGAAAGATGTGGTATATATATACACAATGGAATATTACTCAGCAATAAAAGAGAATAAAATCACGGCATTTGCAGGTAAATGGATGGCATTGGAGAAGATAATGCTAAGTGCAGTTAGCCAATCCCCAAAAAAACAAATGCCAAATGTTTTCTCTGATATAAGGAGGCTGATTCATAGTTGGGTAGGGAGGGGGAACATGAGAGGAATAGATGAACTCTAGATAGAGCAGAGGGGTGGGAGGGGAAGGGAGGGGGCATGGATTAGAAATGATGGTGGAATGTGATAGACATTATTATCCAAAGTACAGGTATGAAGACACAAATTGGTGTGAATATACTTTGTATATAAGCAGAGACATGAAAAATTGTGTTGTATATGTGTAATAAGAATTGTAATGCATTCCACTGACATATATAAATTTAAAAATTGATAAAATAAAATGTAACCATTAAAAAAAGGAGTGCCAATGAATGAGGCCCAAATAGGGTGATGATGAGGAGGAGGGTTGTCTTTTATGAATAGTGATATATTCAGTTTTTATTTTAACTATTCCCATTGGTGGTTTCAAATGGATGTACAGTTTTTAATTTTAAACATTCCTTTCTTGAGCAAGAAAGATCACTTTAGTTCTAGGTTGCTATAAACAAGACCAATAAAGCAAGGTATAAGATGATCTAGAAATAATAGCTCTCACCCAGGTTGGTGTTGTTCTGCTTTTTTCATTTGTGCTAGTCTCCGGGGGATAATATGGACTTGAGCTATTCAAATATACAAGAATACTGATGCTTCTTAGACTAACATAACAAGAGTTTTTGAGCACCATGTGCCAGTCACCATGCTGGATGCTAGGCAATGGATGGGGTGGGGGAGAAAGATGCTTAATTTATCTTCAGGGAAAAGAGATAAATTCCCACATGACCCTAATCCTGCACTTTTCCACTCCCTGATTAAATATGCTTTTCCAAATGTTAAATGTTTAGCCCTGATATCCTCAGAACTAGGACAGGCCTCTGTTGCCCCCATGAGCTTCTTCAGTGAAGAGAAACCAGACACTCTTGGTGCTCTGAGGGTCCCTCTGGATCCCTGAGATTTGCTCCCCTCCCATCTATTATTTTAGTTTCTCACAAGATACCATCACTTATGTGAGTGAACATTTATTTATAAGATCAGCTGACAAGTTAAGACCTCATCAGTCATGGATTAGACAAGAATTAAAACTAGAGGCTTTAAAATTAGACTCAAGTTCAACTTAGAACTCTGCCCCTAACTAGGTATGACACTGAGACACATTTCCCCTCTTTAAGCTTCAACGTGTTCTTCTATGTAATTGGGATAATAGGAATTAATTCATGGGTTTAGGTAAGGAATAAAGTGTTATCGGAGCTGGTCCTGTCAACAAAGGGCTATCCTGTAAGGAGACACTGTGATTCCCTACCTGGAACTTAAAAGCAGATCCATTAGAACCCTAATTGTTGTAACTGTGAAAACAGCATTCTCTGAAGAACTGTAAACTTGGCTTCATTTTTGTTATTCTCCCTGAAAGTGAGGAGATAGGAAAATGATATTGAGGGCAAGTGCCTTGCCAAGAAGACTAGTTCATTGATTGACACAAAGAACAGTTCCAGTTAGTTGTCATTCTACTGCAGAGTCATTGTCATTCATTACATTTTCACCTTTATTTTTCCTCTACTTTTTTCCCTCCATTCAATATTTATGACCATACTCTGCACATTTTTCATTTCCCTCAATTTCAAGTGTTCTATATATAGATTCTGTTATGCTAGGAACTTTCTTGACAAAATTCTCCCAAGAATAAACAAAAACTTGTATTATTCCTTTTTTGGCCTAATGAGTTTGACTCTTATTTATCACAATTATCATTACATATATACAGAAAATGCAAATTTAGATCTAACAGAGTAAATTATTTATGACTTCCTCCCTAGATCTAAAAATTCTCACTTTTGTCCTGTAACTTAATAGGCCTATTCTGTTTTATGACATTACTTATAATAATAAAATTTGTTTCCAAATATAAGGGCCGGCATAAGTAAATGCTAATACAAAGAGATATTTATGCGGAGGTTTTAATAACACTAAAGCACTTGTTGTAACTGCAGCAAGGCCACAGTTTCATTCACATGCTGGACTTCAGATGTGGGGGTGGAGGAAGGAGGTCTGTTTGTTATTAACTTCCTTTTTAGTCCTTTCTTATTGGATAGTGAAGAAATTGGGGGAAAGGGAGGAGAGGGTCACAGTTAAATATAGTTCAACCTTGTTTTTAAAACTTTATCTGATTAAAAATTTGAGCAATCATTTATGCACCTTAGTTTCCTTGGAATATACTGTGAGGTGTAGCTCTCCTGGTCTCAAGAGGTCCTTTGAAAAGCTTCTAGTCCCATTTACCCCTCATTTGAAATGTCTTGGTTCTGATACCAAGTATCTGCCAGTTTCCTGCTATTCTTAGAGCTTCCATATCTCCCAACCAGGGCAAATAGAACTAAAAATACTGCCTTCTCTAGTGGGAGAGGAGAACAAGGAATTTGTTACTCAAACCTCCTTAAACTACTCCTCCCTACTGCCTTCTTTCCATTCAGAATTGAGACTGAAATAGGATATTCCCTCCTTTTCCTTTTCTCAAAAATTTTAATGGACAGAATGGTGAGAGAAATAAAACAATTAACTGATAAGGGAAGCTATATAGGAAAATATCCCACAAAAATTAGGCCCATTTTCTAACATAAAGAGGAAAAATACAATGTGCAAAAAAAGTGTATACACTATCAACAGAAATTATATAATATACGTCTGTAAATATAGGTATATTATAAAATAAAGCTGTCTTACTTATTTATAAAACTTATTTTTACTTTTATGAACAAAAATGAGTTGTTTTCCAGCAACCACAATTTAGAACTTGAGAAATAACTCCAGTATTTTTAAGATTTATCTTCTCCTCTTTCCCATGAGTGTCCTTCAATCCTTCTGAGACCACTGCTTAATAAAGAATTAAGGCAAAACTCAAGGGGCATGCAGAACTCATACTTCCTCCAATCCTAATGGAAGACATCTGTGAAAATATGCTCTTTTTTCCCACTTGTCATAATTTTAGAACTGAACAATATAAAGCTGTAGTTAATATTGATGTTAATAAAAGTCCAGGAAACAGGATATCATATTTTTGCTTTCTTTTGCAGGTTACCAGATCACTCTAAAAATCAAGCATATGAAACTAGTATTAAAAAGTTCCAACATCGGCAAAATTATAAGGTAAAACCATACTTTCTTTTACATGTTGGTTTTAATCACTGAAATTGAATTTTGAAGGGAATTTAAAACATTTCTATACCTGACTCTTGTTTTTAAAAAAATAGGGATAAGTAGTGCACTTTCCTTTGTTAGGCTTTTTAATTTAGTATTTTAAGGTGGTAAAATGATGTTTCCTGGTGCATGAAGTATGGAGAAAACTGAAATGTGTACATAAAAATAATAAAATAACAGAAACAATCCAAATATTTTATAATGTTCACAGTCTTGTAAAAATATGTATGTAGGTAATCAATTGTGTTTCAACAAAACTGAAATTTTCATAATAATAATTAATATTCCTGGCACTGAATAATTTCACATAAGTCATTTTAAAACTTTTGCTTTTGATCTCAAATAATAATCATCTAAAGCAAAAGTATGTAGAAAATATGTAAAAGAAACATTTGTGAACAATGAACAACTTCCAAAATTACTCAGATCAATGTTTTTTCTAGTATCCTGGATGTGTCTTTATAAATACCCACTCAATCAAGTTATTTTATTAATTTTATTTTATAAAAGGAAATAAGTTATCTACAGTTTATATATAGCCCACATAAAGCTGTAGAGTTTTTAAGTAATTTGGGGGAATTAACATTGGATGTATAAAAAAAAATTTGCCAATATGATACGTGAAAATAAACAAACATTGGATGTTTTTCACCTAAAATTACCTATTTTCAAAAACTATACTGAGTCTTTGATAGTTAACAATTGGTGATAATCAGCCAAGGTCCACTCAGGTTACCTGAGATCTATGGTGCTAGATGAGAAGAAATGTATCAAAATTTGCACTTGAAAAAGTTACCAGTCAATATACAATGAAGATAACTGAGACAATCACACCAAATGTGCTCATAATTTTATGTATGCAAATGCACACTGGAAATCATATGTGCCATTCTAATTTCTTAGAACCAAAAAAAAAAAAAAAAGAAAAAGAATTGGAGAAACAGAAAAAAGTTTAGGTGAGTGCCATAAAATCATGATTGGACACAAGGATCTGATATTGACAAAATATTGAAGATGAAGCACAAACACCAATTAAGTCTGCAAATACCAAATACTTAATGGCCATATATCAGAAAAATAAAGTTGTCAGGGAAAAAGAGAAAGTGATTTTTCACACCAGGAAGTCAACTTAAAGAACTAACTCCATCAGGGTCCAGAGAGGTAGCTCAATGGTAGTGTGCTTGTTTAGCATGTATGAATCCCTTGGTTTTATCCCCAGCATTGCCCCCAAAAGAACTAACTGCATCTTACTTCTGACAATAATAACAAACATTAAGTATCAATGCTGATTATCTGGGGATATATAAATTGCTGTGTTGAGGCAGGTTCAAATGACACATTTGTATCCCATAAGGAAGTGTTGTAATTAAATGACATCACTGTAGTTGAAAGGGAACATAGTGAATTTTATGTATAGATTATTTGCCATCCCCTGCTCCAACAGATGGATGATCTAAATAGGGTTAAGAAAAGATGGGATGCATTCCCAGTAGGTTATAAAATTGAGAATATTCGGAGGGTATCTCCAAACTTTCAGAGAAGATATTCTAAATGGCAAGCACATCCTCTCATTCACCCATGGAGGTAATAATAGAATGAACATTTCTTAGATGGTCTTCCATAAGCTCTTAAAACAATTTCTCTTCTAGGGAACCAAGAAAAGAAATTCTGACTTACTGGATGTAGGACTTGAAGAATTTAACCATCAAGATTTGGAAGAAAATTAAAAACTGAAAATGTACAAATTATCATTTAAGCTATCTCAAGAGAGTTGATTTGCTTTCTCAAGAAAACTGTGTCCACTCCATCAATATTCTGAAAACAGAGGCAGGTAGAGTCACTGGTCATCAGAATCCAGGCACAGAGTCAACACTGAGAACCAGCACACACTATGTTTCAAGTATAGAAGTCATGCACTTGATGACTAGCAAATCCTGAAAAGCACTTTTTATTAAAACCCAAAACACAATCAGTAAAACATATTTTGACTATCTTGGATGATAGTCAAGGTAATAGTAAACCAGGTTTACTTCTATACCTTTAAAATATTACCCAAAGACCATTTGCAACTTCTTGTTTTGGGGATTGAACATTATATCAGGAAATAAGCACTTTATATTTTATAATGTACATTTAAAACATGATCATTTGTGCAAGGATACAGGTCTAACTGCATGAATGTATGCAGAATGTAAGTGATGAGTGTATCTATGCTCCACACAATATCTGATATACATTTGTCTTCAACACTTAGACACTAGTATTATATACACAATTGCCGCTTACACAATAGATTGTTTTATTCCCCAAAATTTCTAAATTGTTATTTTTAAAAAAGGCAAATTGAGGTTCAGATAGATCAATCATGGGAAGATATTGTTACTACACAAAGTGATTTTAAAGGAAGACACCATACTGGTAAGAGGTGGGAGGCGAAGTTGTTCTGTCTGACCTAATTCCTGTTTTCCAACAGATGTATAATATACTTCTCCCTACACTAATTTTGGTGTGGGTTTACCTAAATGTAACCCAGTTCAGTTTCAATGTTTCAAATTTATTCCTCTACATTTTTCAAAAATCCCATTATCAAATATATTTGCTGCAATTCTTAATTTTAAAAAAATGTGACAAGTACTATATTCATAGATTTATAATAAAATGTATGTTTTACTAGCTACTCCCCATGGATTTGCTTTGTGGATTTGATAAAATATTTTAAGCAAGATATTTTAAGGCTCCCAAAAGACAGTAAACACTGATAACTTACTGTTAGATGTTGCTATCAAAATAAAGGCGGTATCCTAATAATGAAGGTGATCTTGTTGGAAGACATATTCTCCCATGAAAAAGTGATACAATCCTTTGAAAAGTTGTTCCTAGAGCTGGCAAATACACACCTCTCATTCTGATTCCCAACCTCAATCCTCCCCCAAAGTGAAGATCTATATCAACTTGCATAGGGAATATAGTTTTTAATGGAGAAATAGAATTAGGTAAATACTCTATATTTCAGGAGGAGGATGGGTGCTCTTTTATGGTAAATGCCTCTTACTCTTTGAATCACCTATCTTATGGATGAAGTAAGACAATTTCCCTCCACTCTCAGAAGACCCACCAGGACCATGATAGGTTCCTGGTGAGAGATAAGGAGTAGGCTGTATAGACCAGCTCTATTCAAAGCCTTAGGGAGAAAGAGTCTTCTTTGGGTCTCCACAGTTTTTAATCTTCTTTGGGTCTCCTCAGTTTTTAAATTTCTGTCTTCTCACGGAATATTAAGGGCCTAAAGAAAGGTAGCCAACATTTGGTTTGCTTCCAATCTGGCCAAATGGGGAGCAGTGGCTCATACACTGTACTGCCTATTCTCTGGATGGAGATTGCAATAGGAATTCAGGACCAAAGTTCAAAAGTTTCAATCCCGTTTAGTCCCAAGCCTCTTCCTATTGCTAACTGGCATAGGACTTTGGGCCTTGATAACTGAATGAGCTTCAGGATTCCAAACTTTTTCAACTTCTCCCATTTGAGACACAGACAACAATTCCAACATTTACCACTATTTATGACAACCTATTAAAAAAAAAACAACATTCAAGAAGAAGTTGTATATAGAAAGCATTTATTTGTATTTCTAGTATATCAGTACTTTAGAAAGTGTTAAGACACACATTTTCATAAAATGAGAAAAATTAGGTAACAGTTGTAAATTGACAAATTTTCAACCATGAAAAGTGGCCAGTTAATAAGCCTATTTATAGTTTGAAAGTGAGATTCTGCATTGGTACAAATTAGGATTAAAGGTTTTCCTTTTGAATGTGCATTACCCCTAAAAAATTTCAAAAACAACCAAACTTACTTCATTTATTAGGTTAGTAAAGGGGAAAAATACACCATTTGAACTAAAGTTAATTGTATTCAAAGATGTAGTTCTGATACATGAAGGCTCTACATCTCAAAATATCTCCCCTTTATCCTTCCATGAGGGTCATGAACAGAATGCTAATTTGCTGCTTGGCCACCTGCAGTGTGGTAGCGCCATTCTCCTGTGCTAAGAATTGGAACACCAGGTGTATCCTGATCCAAGTTTAATGACCATAGGTTCTACTCTTCAGTTACACACAATTCATCCTAAATTTAGCAAAGACACAGGAATGCTCTGTTGCTTAAAATATACATACAGTGTGCAACACCATATTACCTTTCCCTCTCTTGACCACTGCCCTTTCTCTTTCCTTATTGTTACAACTGTTCTCCCAACTCACCCAACTAGTCCTCATTCTCATTATTAGATACCCTCTGCCCTCCCCTCCCTCATTAGTGTATCTTCTGGGAGAGATTAAAACTCTCAATACTTGTTACCACTGGTAATGATAAACAGGGAAAGATACTCTGTCACCCCTTCTGAGGATGTAGAAAGACTCCCTTTGTAACTCCCCAGAAAATGCTGCTACACGTGATTAGAGCAAAGGCATTTATGTATTTTTTAATGTCTACAAGTAAATTACTTGACTTCTCTGTTACCTATTTCATATAAGGAAGTAGGTCTACCACTAATGTTGTATTAATTAACTGATCCATTCAATGAATATTCTGCTGATCCAAGACTCTTCAGGTAAAGAAACCAAAAACCTACATATTTGGATCCCCTGAGAACCATAGTAATAATCTGTGAGTGAAAATATCTTTAGAAATATTCAATTAGGGGCTAGGGATGTAGCTTAGTGGTAAGTGGCTTGCCTAGCATGTGCATGGCCCTGTGTTCAATCCCCAGCAACACACACACATACAATTAATAAAGCTCTACAAATAATAAACATTCATTATTGTTCTTGCCTGGGGTTTTTTATTATCTACACTTCCACAAATACCACCTATTTTCTCCTTAAGATCTTTTCTCGGTTGCTTATAAAACAGAATATTTCAGTAGGTCACTGGAAAGAATGACCTATAAAAGTCATTATAGAAGCCAAATGAGGGTAACAATAGAATGTCTTTCATGAGGGCGGGTGTCCCTGTGTTTCTTTACTTCTTCATATAATCCTCTGAGAAAGTGCTATCTCCCCAACTCTGCAACTAAGAAAACTGTTCTCTTAACTTATGTGGACTGTAAATACCTCCTGCTCTCATCAAGGACTCTGTGGTGGTGAAATTAGGGATTACATTAGAATTGAACATAAAAACATTTTGTTTTCTCTTTTAATATTTTATTTATGCCTACCTTTGCAAAGCATACACTATGGAAGGAACTGGTATTGGCAAGCACAAAGAACTGATGAGACAAGCATTAAGAGAAGATTAGTTATTTATATACAGTTAATTGGTTTAAACTTTTAATTTTAAATTTCAATTTAAATGACTGATTAAAATGAGTTAGTTGACTTTTGATTCCTAAAGTTTTCACACAGCATTTATAAGTTTGAATGTGAGTTTGATAAAGCAGCTGTATCAACATCTTTTAGAACATTACATCTCTATTTCCCCTCAAAGGTTGTTAGGGTCCTAAGTTTCTCCAGCAAAAGGTCTTCAGTAAATATGCACACCTGCTGTATGTAGGTTACACTACTATCTGAATCAGGGCAGTTCTGATAGGCACATTAACTCAGGAGACTATTTTAAATAGATAAATTCTAGGACAGCTGGGTGACATAATTAGAAACAAAGTGACTTAAAACTAATTCTAATTTTATTAACTCTTAGTCAAAAAACCAAGAAGACTTGTAATAATGCTTTGCTGTGATATATTTCTTTCAAATTCTTCAAAACATTAAGTTCTTTCATTATAATAATTTTGAACTTTTTAATTAATTTTCCATCCAGTGCCTATTCATATATCTAAGAGATACATAAAACTACTTCTGAAAACCATACGGAAGAGACAAGTCATCAAAAATCAATTTGGTTACTAAATTTTTTTCAAGGACTTTAATCATTAGTAATAATTAGGAAATAAAGCTAATCATTCACTATCCTACACAAACAAAAACACCAATTAAAGGCGAGAGATGGAAGAGAGAGAACAGGTCGTTTATTTCAGTAACTACACCTTTTGTCACCAATCATAGGAACCAAATGATCCAAGGGTGGGTAAGTGTAAGCAGTACAGCCTCCAAAAGATAATCACATTCACATTCTCAACTAATTAATAGCACAGACAGGGCCATTTCATTTCCTTAACACAAGACAATCATTTGCACAGCATCATAATAAATAAATATTTCTTCTATGAGAGAAGCAATTCTGAAAATAGTGTCTGTGGCTCCCAAACATTAACCCAATCAGCTGGGAAATATTTTCCTAACCGAGGTATTCTTTCTAAGGAAAAAAAAAATCACTGAAATTTCATTTCAAAGGTTAGCATGTTTAAAAATCAGGGGGAAAAAAAGGTACAGAGAATAATTTTACTTTCTAACTTTATTCTAAAACACAAACAAGACTTCTTAGGATTATGTCAACATAACTCCTTGATATATTTTTATCTCTAAATTCCTAATGTGAAAGTCATAAATATTAGGCTTGAAATTGCCAACATCTGATCAAGGCTAACAGCACACAAAGAAAGCTTTTTTAAATTATCTGTTATATGAAACAAGCAATTACTAAGTACAAGGGCTTTTGAATTACAAAGCTTATAAAACATCTCTACAATTACCAAAATCACAAAGGACAAAAAAGAATTTAGGAATGTTTTTTAAAAAAGATTTTGAAGCAGAACATCAGCTTAAATCATACGAAACAACTTGGACAAGATTCTGATACAAAAATCACAATAGAGATGAACTTGAAAGATTTTAATTTAGTCCAAAGGGCCACCTAAACCCTGTTTCCCTTTCTTAAAAGAGTTAGCTCAAAACTTTTAGACAGTTAAGCAATCTGAATTTCCTTTATTTGTCCATGAAACATCAAAAGAATATTCTGACATAAAATTTGATTGGAAAAAAAAAGAAAGAAAGAAAACTAATCTGTGCTGGATATCATTGGTTCCTCCTTTATCCCAGAACAATTAAATAAATTGAAGCTCCTTCCAAAATTCTAGGACTTAGGAAGAACTACTTCACCCAAACTAAGATACACTGCAAAGGAGAGGGAGAAAAAGTCAGAATTTCCATCTTTAATGAAAGTTTCCATGAATTTCTGAAAAAGCAGAGAAAATACATAGCTTTTCAGACCACAAACATCAGTGTCTTGATAATTTTAAGTGCCTTAATTCTTGTAAATTTAAGGTTTCATTATTCCAGTTAGAACATACCATGTCATCCATAAATAGCAAGTATTTTGAAAGTTTTAAAAATTTCTCTTTTCCTTGAGAACAATCATCATGGACTTTAGGAAGTCTGTTGGCAAAGAATGAGAAATGTCAGAATCAGTCCAGGTGTAACAAGCATGAGAATAATGAGAAGTTTAAGAGTACTGCCGTATACTCAAAAATAATTTTTAGGTCCCAAATTCACTACCATAACCTTAATTAACTTTAAATTAACGAAAAGCCATGATTATAAAATCTGCTCATTGTGCATAAGTAATTCTAACATGAGCAAGGAAGGGTTAATCTCTTGGTCACACTCCCTACCCAGTACCAGGGATCCCAGCTATAACTTAAGCGTGCAACGTCTACTTTAACAGATTCTGCAGCATGGCTGTTGCATATGTGGGTCGAGCTTGTCTGCTCTCAAT